CAGGCACGAGGCTAACGGACATAGTCTAACGCGTGCACGAACCCTTGCAAACACAGACAAAATTATTTAATTGGGGAGAGTACGCGTGGGTAGCGGCAAAAATAACACTTGAACACAAATAAAGTTTGTACAAAGAAGGGAAAAAAAAAACAATTTTCCCTTATTTTACGAACGGGGCAGTGGGGGGGGGGGCAATAAAATTCGGCACGGGGTTTGAAAGTCCCACCAAAAGAACTATATAATATGGAAATATATATGTATGTACATACATATGGGGAGAATCACGTCAACTGTCCCAGCGCCACGGTGGACGGCCCGCGCGGGCGTCAAACACGACGTTTTCAACTCGTCGTTTCGGTGTCATAACTTTGATAAAAAAATTATCTAAAAACATATTCTTACGTATCTTTTCCTCAGCTTTCCAGTGGTGGCATCAGTTTTTCAAAAATTTGCTCCCATAACCTTGAAAACTGCACTTGTTTGAAAAACACGTTTTATCTCCATGATCTTCAACTTTTGGAATTTTTTAGATAGTCTAGATCGAAAGATGAGACATTTTAACATACATATCGACAATAAAAAAAAGGGGTTTTTCGTTTTTATAACGTATTTAAACGACGAACGAGACGATGCGAGCCGCGGCGGCCGAGCCACGCGCGGCAGCAGCGCGTCCTCCGTGTGTCGTCTGCTACGGTGTGTCTGTTTGGCTATATAATATATAATGTAGTAGTGGCGATGTAAACAACAATTAGTTAACCAGGGCTTACAATGGATAAATAATAAATGTTTTGATAATATTTATTCATATATACAACAATTTTATAATAAAGAAATAAATAATGATTAATATTGATTAAATATTAAAATTCCTTCAGCTTCTAGCGAATCTAATAATAATCTTCGAAGTTTTCCGAAATTGGGACAATCTAAACATTTTCCTAAAAAACAATTTTCGGAAGGATTATCGCAAACAATGGCGTTCAAACAGTCCGTGGAATTTTTAAGAGGTGTTGCCTTGGGTTTCGTTAATTCTTCTAAATTTAGTGCATCTAGCATCAGTTTTACGTTTTCGTGATGCACGCATACGCAAACGTTATGCGTGCCACTACTTCCGGCTAAGATACAGTGAGGAGGTCTGAGCTGTACGAATTTCGTGAGACCCACTTTGACATTTTCATGCTCTTCTTTAAATAAAATGAATAGTTCGTTCAAATTTCCAAGTAATAATCGTTTTTGTACATAAACACGTTGACCATTATCCTGTTTCACAGAAACATAATCTTTTAATCCAGGCATCAAGCGGCTGACACTGTCACGCTCGTAAAAAATTTTGACGCAGACCTCAACATCAGCAGATAAAACTTTTCCTTTTTTTTTTCGGGCCATGAGAGTATGCCACGTTCTGCAACTAAATTTAAAGCTTGCCTAGCTTCTCTATCTGTGCAACTAAATTCTTTCATAAGCTCTCTTCGGTTCCAAAATTTCGGGGCGAGGGTGAGCAACGTGATTCTCTCTCGCTTATCGTTAGATGATGCAAATTTCTCCTTCCGCCGCGGCTCGCATCGTCTCGTTCGTCGTTTAAATACGTTATAAAAACAAAAAACCCCTCTTTTTTTATTGTCGATATCTACGTAAAAATGTCTTATCTTTCGATCTAGACTATCAAAAAAATTCCAAAAGTTGAAGATCTTAGAGATAAAACGTGTTTTTCAAACAAGTGCATTGTTCGAGGTTATGGGAGCAAATTTTTGAAAAACTGATGCCACCACTGGAAAGCTGAGGGAAAAATACGTAAGATTATGTTTTTAGATAATTTTTTTATCAAAGTTTTGACACCGAAACGACGAGTTGAAAACGTCGTGTTTGACGCCCGCGCGGGCCGTCCACCGCGGCGCTGGGACAGTTGACGTGATTCTCCCCATATATATCCATGTATCATAGGGGAATTCACACTCTTGATTGCTACGCTCACCAAATTCCTGTGTGTAATCGCAGGTAATTTTTTTTAGGACCTCAGTAATAACGTTTTGACGCCTCATAAAGTATGTTCCAAAGTCTTTGCAAATCCTGAGCACGCCTTTACAATACAATTATTAATCCTGATAATTTTGTTTTTAACCCTTTTCTAAAACTTGATACATGCTTCATTGCCCCTATAATTTACACTAATTATTACTGAGTTATAATTTGATCATTGATTTTAATATTTTTTTAAAGTGTTTTTTTGAATCACCGTCTAAATAACACCGGAGCACATTTGTAATTCATGACTAACTAACTTTCAACAAATAATTCAAAAGTTTTTTAATTAGCAGATTCTCATTTGTATCTGACCAACTTATTGAAAATAAATTTAAAGGATCTTATGTTATTAAAAACGTCCTGATTATCGTTTGTGATTCTTTGATAAAAATTTATTCTTACTCTTCCAGTTTAACACTTTAAACCTATTAAAACTTGTCTTAAAAATTATAAAATTTAAATGCCAACCATCTACAACCAAACATACCAAGTAAGTAATAAAACTCTTTTCCTACATGATATTACGTGAGTAAATCAAGATAACATATTATTTCTACAAAATAAAATTTCTACATTGTTTGTACACAGTCGAATTCACTATTAGATTGATTTCTATGTTCCACTGCCAATTTTTGTACACAACGGTGATGGTAGTAGCAATAGCGAAATAACTTCAAATATTTTTATATATAACCCACTTGCCCCCTTTTTACCCTTCTCCCTCCCAATACATAACACAAATTGCCGAACCTTGCAAATAACCCAATAACCTTCTATTGCGACCCCTCTTAGTGTACCCGAATATCTTTGGATTCTTGTACACGGCGGTGGCAGCAGTGGCAAAATATTTTTGTAATATGAAGAGATGTACTGGTAGGGCTTCGATTTTCTGCACGCTTTACTCGCCAATCCCCGGTTAATAAACTGTTATTTTTTTGTATAACCATAGGCCTTAAGGTTAAAAACGAATGGTTTTAAATTTATATATTATTATTTTTTCTTAAATAAAATAACACAAATTATAAAAGAAATAAATTTTAGTACGTAAAAAGATACTACAAATACGTTTCACAATAAGTTTAGTATGGTTGTTGTAAGAAAATCAGCTCAAGTTGTTCCATGGTAAACAATAAAGAAAAATTTATAATAAATGTGAATAGGAAATAACTATTTATCTTATTAATAAAGAAACACAGTTTTATTGTAGCAGTTATGATATTTTTACTACGAATATAATAATAGTCACAGTGATAATTATCGGCTTTATTTTTATACTACTTTCTCTTTAATATACATAAATGATTTGATATCTTCATTCGTATTCATTGACATTTTATTGCCCATTTGGAAAACATATATGTGTATTTTGATAGAAGTAACAAAATTATATAGCTTTTGCAATGACTATTTAGAAGCCTTAAATTAAAGTAAGGATAATTTTGGTCTATACATAAAAAAACCTTTGCTTACTTAACGTAGCATTATCAACATGTAAAAACAAAAATCAGATATCAACTCAAATAAAAACAGAGAATAATTTAGTGGTAAAAAAAATTTTTTGAAAAATGATTTTAAATTAACCGTTTTTTTTTTTTTTTTTTGTACAAAAACTTCTATGAAATCAACTACGTTTTCTATTACACAGATATTCTAAAAATTTTTTTATGACTATAATGATGAGATGCAGATAATATTTAAGAACCTGTACTTATTTTATACATTATTTCATTAATTTGAGAAGGGTAGTCAAGAAATAATAACTAACGATTTCATAGAGCTCTGTAATATAGTTTACAAAAGTAAGTCATATTTTTATAAGGTGAAATATCCACGGTTTTTATCATTTTATAACCATGAGAATTTTAGGCACATAGTTATTTCCACTACCTCTCTGTAAGAGGAGGCCTCCAACATCCCTTGAGCCTTCTCTTCCCCAAGTGCTCATTGCCCAGAGTAGTGCCCTCATTAGGAGCTGGACTCTATCTCTATAACTCTTCGAACTATAGAGTTATTTCGCTATCACTATCACCTTCACCACCATGTATAAGAATCTGAAAATATCAGAATATTCCCGAGATTGGAGGTAAAGAGGGTGAAGCAAGCGTATCCACGCAATATCTTACGCTCTCACACTTTGCAAGGTGATAAGGGTGGAGCAAGCTCACCTACGCAATCCTTTTGTGTACTTAATTTATTTTGCCACTGCCGCCGCTATCACCGCCCGTGTTGTAAACAAGCCTGAGCCCCCTACATTTCCGTACTTATTAGAACATTTCTAAGAATGGTCGAAGGCAACAGAAAAGTCTTCCGTCTATCTCTATTATAAGGTTATTTGGTCGCCACCACCGCTGTGTACAAGAATTGGCATGTTGCAGGGGTGGAGGGAGAGTAGGTGTGGTAAGGGAGTCCACAACAAGAATAATAAAAAAATTTATTTAGGCAAAGGAATCAGGGTTAATAATAGCCAGAAAATTATACAATGCCTTTGTAACAGGCAACGTTAACGACCACACAGGCTCACTTTCAATACATCAATATTATATTTTAGCAGATTTTAAATTTTGACGTACAAGATAAATTTGACATACTTAACAAAAGGGAATAAAAAAAAGTGAACAAAAAATAAGCTACAATAAAAATTACGAAAGTAAATAACAAAACATAGTATGCCCAATAATCAACAACATAGTGAGTCCAATTTGTGCAGTAAAAATTACCGTAGTCCGTTACAAGCTCCTCAGGATGTGGGTCAATAGAATTGATATGACTCATAAGGCGTCTCCCAAAGCAAGACGAGGTACCATCCACCCTTATACTCACAGGAATCGTATTCCACAGCCAAGCCGCCACAACAGTAGAGCTACTTTTGTAAATTTCAGTGCGAGCCCAACGGACAATCAGGTCAAGATGCCTAGATATTGTAGAATTAGTATCATTTATCGAACTGCTAGGTGTCATTTTGGACTCAAACCTCACATTTAGACAGCATACAACAGATTTTGCTGGCAGATGTTTTGGTGCACTGGCTCGGTCGCGTAGAAATGTTTACTTTCTACCTGTAAGCATCAAAGTTATGCTTGTTGAAACCCCAGTATTCTCCATTTTAGATTATTTCCCAACTTCATGTTTGGGGCTTTCAAAAGAGCTCACCGTCAAACTTAGTAGGTGCATAAGTGCTGCTCTGAGATTTGTCGTTGGAATCAGAAAATCAAAAAATCTGACTATATTATGCCCATCTACCACGGATTTAAAGTTATGTGTTTCGAAGCCAGATCAAGATTTCTTATTGTGTGTTTCTTGGCAATTATACTAAGAACTGAAGTTCCATCTTATTTAATATGCTATTTAAAGTTAAAGTGCCCTAATCATTCTACTAAGAGAGTGAATCACCTTGATTTACTCAGGCCTACGTCTCGGTTTGATTGTTGCTGCTCTTAGAGTAGGAGCACTTAAATTATGGAACCAGATTCGAAGAAATGTTCGAGCTTTTTTTTCAAGACTATCGTTCAGTACTAGGCTCCAGAAACTTATTTTGGAGTGATCTAATCTTTTTGAGTGATAGTGTGACTAGTTTCATCGGTGATTTTGTAAACTCTAGTGATCTCAGTATCTAAATTAGTGCAATCCTATGCCATATTGCTCTTAGATTATTTTTTTTGTTATATATATATTTGTGTTACCTTAGATTACATTCTAATTATTATCTTTAATATTTATATTATATATTCATTTGATTTACTTTTTTTTATTTTTGTCTTTAATAATACTATGTAACTCAATTGGGATTTTTTTTGTTCTCAATAGAGCCAGTCTGGCTCTACTTTGTGCACCAACATGGACCCTGAGTCTCTAGCCTACGGAATAAAGAATCTGAATGTAAATCTCTCTCAGGCTCGTAGCTGAAACACGTACCACTTTAAAGCTCCTGCTTTTTTTGGCCCAGCTTGTTTATTTATATTTCCGTTAGAGTTTTTATTAGGTACAACAATACTCAGACCTTAGATGGGACTCCACTTGTCCCTAGACCTCCTAGTGCTTGGAGAAAAGCCTTTTATTTACACTCTGCTGCCATAACCTCGCCAACGTTAGTACTGTTTCAATCCTTGCCTCGATAGGGGTGGCTGCTCCCTGCAGTTACCCTGGCTGCTGGCTCGTGATTGCCGTGGTGACTGAGATCTGGTGAGTACACACCTTGCAATGTTCGTCCTTATTTCATATACCTGGCTATGAATTAATGCGCAAAAATAGAGGCCTTACGTCGACTACAGGACGGCAACAGTTTGTTTAGGGTGGCGGAGTTGCGCGCTACGTTCGGGAGGATATCACATGTAGCATTGTGGTGTCGCCGCATCCTTAGGACTTGGCTGGATGTGGTCTTTTGACTCTAGTAAGCGATTCCTGATGCCATGGTCGTCCAACGCACTTTGTATAAATGGTCACGATTACTTAATTATTATTTATAATGTTAACGTGTTCCGTCCGTCTACGCCACGCTGGGCTCGAGATCTCTGTTATTTTTCCGCCACTGAATTTAATAGAAATGTACGTACTTACTATTAACAGCATGCGGAGTGGAGGAGTGGTGTGGAGCCTGAGGGTGTCAACGCTTATCTTGACGAATTTCAGAAAATTGTGATAAGTGCACTCGATTCTCATGCACCCATAACGACGCGTCCCAAGTGCCACCACCCACCAGCACTTGACTGGGAATTAAAAGCAAGATGCAAAGTGGGTGACCGCTTGTATGGTTGAGCGAGGAGGACTGAAGTGGGAAACACTTTTTAGTAAGCTTTAATATTAAAAAAGTATTGTATTTACTTGAAGAAACTTTTAATTCGTATTTTACTGTGAATTGTGACAAATAATAACTTTATCTGCAAAAAAACACTGTATTTCGAGCTTTATGTAGGAAAAAAATATTAGTTATAAGTGTTTAAAAATAGATGAAATAATTGTACTTTGGTCTGTGACTATATCAGTATTAATAAAGATATAATCAACAGTATCCACAATGTCGGAGTACTACGTTATTTGGACTAGCAGTCCACGGTTCTTATCAATTGCTTCCATATTTGCGATCGAGATTGAGTTCGATTCTCATCCTACCTGTAAAGGAGGAAAGTAGAAAGTACACATTATCACATGCAGCGCAGATTCAGCGACGTTCAAAGACGATCACGTGTATCGAAACACTTGATGAGCTTCCTGTTAACTTCTGCACCAGTGTGCCTACTTACCCCTGCGTTTCCAATACACAACCATTTTTTTTTCCTGCACAACTACATAGAAAAACAGTTAATTCACTATGCACGTATTAATTTTTTTTAGATTTTTTCCCTAGCAGAACGTGCCATCCGAAAATTTTATAGTCAATAACCCTGACAATAGGACTTTTCGAATGATTTCTGCATCAAATGCGGTAACTCGTAAGAAATTCGTCCTTTCTATTCTGGTACAGGAAACTTTAAGATTAAGTTAGGTTTGAACGTGTAAGAATATATGCATAATATCTTAAATAACTAATATGAATGAGCCCTGACTGAGAGATAAAAAGTTTTATAATGATGGGTAAAAAATAATTATTGTAGTAGTTTTTGACTTTGCAGCGTAATAAATAAATAATAAGTATATTACTTACAATTCCAAAGTTGTTTACACGAAAATGATAATTATTTCTCTCCAAAGCTTCAGTGATAATGGTCACCGTCTTTTCACATGTTGAAGGTACAAAGAATCGAGTCATTCGACGAACTAAATTTTGAAGAGTATTCTAAAAATAATAATAGTAACAATTATTGTAATAACGATAACAGCAGTAAATACGTAACACATTACAATAAGTAAAATGTGCGGTACCTGACTAGTTTGAGTCTGAATTGTTTGTAATTGACTACATATCAATAAATTGTCTACTATTGTTGGTTGTGAAAATGATAAGCCTGTCCTTTTACGTAATTCTATAATATTAACACTTTTACTATTGCCAACAGGAGGCAATTCTGGTTGTGAAAAACTGAATGTTTCTTCTTTTTTATTGTGATTTTTTTTATCACTTTCCACGCAGAGTTCTGATACTACATCTGGAACAAAAAAAGTTTCAATAATTTAACAACTACATAGCAATATTACGACCACTGACTAGAAAAATTTCTCGTTCATACGATGTCAAATAAACATACACAAGACAATATTAGCGTTTCTGTGGGAAAAATCATCGTACAAGCTTTTTTTGGCAGATTTGCATTAAGGCTTGCTTTCATTGTAACGAATAAATGTCTGGTAGAAAAAAAATTTATTTAAATTTGTGTAAAGAATTCACTTCAATCAAAACATAAAACTTAGTCTAACAATTCAAAAAACGATTTTTTTGTTTTTGAGTCACTTGAAGCATAAAAATCTCTTGTAAATGAAAATCGTTTAATGTTGAAAAAAACATACAGGCGGTAATTTTTAAAGGTAAAATCGAATTTATAAAAGATACATTTATTAGGACCACCAAAATTTTTTCGAATGTTCAAAAATAATTTAAAAATATTTTTAAAAAGCAATAACTATGACATTGTTTTGAAGCCCAATTTTGACCTTGTAAAATAGGTTTCTTGACCGAATGCGAGTGCTGATTCTCAACTACTGAGACGATATTTTTTAAAAAGACTAAAATAATCGTTGTAAACTTTATAGAGTATTCCTAGGGGTCTTTTATTTTTCTAAAGTAGTGTTTTCAGTCTTTCAAAGAGATACGAATAATAAATAAGTTGTTAATAACATTTTTTATTTAACTCGGCAGCTAATAAGAATCTCAACCACTACAGTATTCAGACGATTCCGTTATAGATATATATGCATAAAATAGTCGTCCTATCTAGATGGTAATATATAATTACATACACACATATATACATGTATATTTTTGTATAATACTCTGTATTTTACTATGTAGGCCATACCACATAACCCCCCACAGCCCTTAACGACCCCTTCCCTGCTGCTTACCATAAAATAAGAAAAAAATGAGTTACCTTATCTGTCACACAACATTTTTGCCCCGACATCCCGCAGCCCCCTCCCCCTCACGGTTCCACTACAACCACTACGCAAATATTCAAGATACTTAATTACCCCAAATCGATCCCTTCTTCAGACCCTCTACATACGTAGATACCTAGTTATTTTTACCTATTTTCTCATACCCCTCAGGAATCAAATAGGGTGTACTTTATATATATAGGTTTTNTCGATAAGGTCGACTATCATAAAAACACCGTAGTTAAATTCAGGTTAATCACTTCAGTATGCCACTTCATTCGAAAGTGAACACAGATAAATGTTAAATAAAATAAGTATTAATCAATAATATCAAATTTATTCTAGTTCATTTAAAATCAGTAAGTTCTCGGTGAGCTGAGTTGTTTTTGGGTATTGTTGTTAAACTATGTAAAACAAAACTTTTCTTGCTCCCCTCCCCGAAAGTACGAGCCTTTGTAGTATCCATATGCTCCAGAAAGCGTTACTTTTTTGGTTGATCACTGCTCGATTGTTCGTTCGACGTTCTCCGTCATCGTATGACTGTAGCCTAACCGCACCCGCTGTTGTCACGCGTGTAAATAAACAACAGTTGATTTTCAAATTTTACATTTTTTTTTTTTCCATGTTAATCTTAGTTGTGTCCAACGAAGTTGTGTTACATAGTACCAAAATGAACGATTCGGGCAACTCTTTATCAGAAGGATCAGCAGACGAGGAGGAAGTTTTCACAAACTTTGATCAAGAAACGCAGCTGATTATAAAAAACGATACGGTACCAAAAAAGTCGAGTGATCGGTACCTGCTTAAGTACAATAATTATAAAACTTGTCTAAAAAAAATAACGCTTCTCTCTCAGACTCTTATGAACAAATTTTGATGTTTATTTTAACAATTTAAAAGAAAGGTTATCACCACCAACTCTATGGGGTGTATGGAGTATGTAAAATGTTAAACGGAAAAGACAGTATAAATATATCAAACTTATAAATTTAAAAAGCTTTGATGAAAAACAATATGAAGGATTATAAGCCCAGAAAATCGTATACGTTGAAATCGAATCACATAATGACCTTTATGGATACGAAATCAGACCATACATATCGAGCTATAAAGGTAATAATTATTTATACGTATATTTACATTCGAAATTATCCTTTACGTACTAAGTATCGCTTTATTTCATCTTAAACTTTTTTAATACTTGCAGGTTATGCTAACATTTGGTATTTGCGGTGCATAGCGATAAAGTGAGGTAAGTAATTAAAAGTTTAAAAATGTAGACGACATTGGCAATAGTAGATTTCTTGTTTCAATCGACGCTACCAAAAATGACTATACTGACCAGATTCTTGTTGGTGAATTTATTTACAAGAAAGTTAAACAGTACGTTGTATTAAGGCCAAAAGATTATGCAAGTAACAGATTTTTGATTAAGTATGAAACTGGGAAGTGTATACATCAAGAGATTGGAAGACACACAGAAGGCGTAATTCCAGGCCAAATTGTTTCATTTTTGAAATTTCAAAATACACAAAAGTACTCTTGAAACTCTTGCTTCTAAGCCAGGCGCAACAATACAAGCCATAAAACCAATGGTAAGGTGGAGATCAGATGCAATAGCTCAGGTTTATATTGAGAATTCTTTAAATAATCGACAAATGATTTTCAATCACATAACCCACCAATTTAAGCAAGAAAGGCCGTCAACAAGTGTACAAAATAAAGTTCCACAAATCGTTCACAAAGCTATGCAAGAAAATCCATCAACAAGTGCACAATTGACGACTGCAGAAGTTAAATTAGATCTCTATTTAAATTGGTCAGATTTTTCAGATAAAATAGGTCGACAAAGTAAGTGTCACTGATACAGTTAATCAAACTTCAGATGACAACGACATACGAACTTTAAACGAAAGAAAAATAGTAGTTATAGAATTAGATGAAATTACAGATTATGATGCTAAATCAGTTTTAAGTACCCAAGGTGTCAAAATTCATCAGAATCACTTTTCACGACTATGTTTTTGACATTGTTAACAAGCGTGATGATGATAATTAGTCTTAAGTCATTGACACTTGTACTGTGTCCATTTATCTTTATTTTTAAAAATATTGAAAACTTTCCTAGTACAACACTATTACTACAGTATAAGTGTTACTTAAATGTAATAAACAAGAAATAAAGACTGATAAATAAGAAGATTATAAGATAAATTATAAACTAAAAATTTAATGTATAGATTTTTTTAAAACAAAAATTAAAAGATTGTTTAGTAAAAGCAATAAAAGTAAAGTCACTATTATTAATTTTTTTTTTCATCATTTCATTTCATTAAAACTCTTTTTTTTTGTGTTTGATGCACGCCCCAACCAGCTGAACCTCGGCTTCGCCTTCATTCTGCAAAAGTCGGGCAGCCATCAAAACATAACCTCTTAAGTCGTAGCCATAACTGGCTTAGCAGCAGAAGCCAAGCATTAAGTACCGTTATACATGATCAGAAACTAAAAATCATAGCTATAGATATACTCATACAGTAGTGAGCTTCAACTGGCAGAGATAATGTTAATAATTACTAAATATAGAACTTACTTTTGAGGGAACATCAAGAATAATTGTATAACAACACACGTCCAGAACGTTAAATATCCTTGCGTTCATGGCGTAATGTTCTTGGATTTGCCTCGGACATTCGCCACGCACGCCAGAAAATCTAAGGTTCGGGCCTAGTGTCAAAACATACTATTGATTTTTTATATGTACTTACATGACATAATACAAATACATATATAAATTTGGAGAAACCTGATGCTTCTTTAAAGAATAAACCAAACCGTATGTTACTTAGTAGATCTACACAAGTATACTATACTTCAACAACTATTTATTAAGTTTTTCGATGACGAGAGAATCATACTCTCTTCTTTCAATTTTTGCCGGCTTTAGTACCAAACTATTATTAACAAGTGTATATACAAGTGCAAAACTATATCTCACTAAAGTCTAGTTTAGGCATAAAAAAATCTGTCATAAGAACTTTCGTGAATAAGTGTAGGTATTGACAAAAATAAATTAAATTTTTTAATGCACAAAAATCACATAAATAAGCAAAAAAATATTAAATCAATACAAAACCAGGCAAGTTGTATTTAGTTAATTTAAATTTATATGTATGCACGATAACCTCAAGCTATTTGTTGTGAAGCAGACTTTTCGATAAGGTCGACTATCATAAAAACACCGTAGTTAAATTCAGGTTAATCACTTCAGTATGCCACTTCATTCGAAAGTGAACACAGATAAAGTGTTTATTTACTCTTTTAAAACCTGAAAAGTGTCAAAAGTTCGATTTCGTAGCCGATCTACATATGTAGATCATGGAGTGAGTGGAAGAATCACAGAAATAATATAATAGCGTAGAAAGAGGACAAGCATTTATTTCTGTTAGAAAAGGTAACAGGATGTCAATCTAACTACTACGCCTGTACACCATCTGTAGTGTAAAAGAACTTTTTTAGTATGATTAAGTAGTGAATCTAAGATAAACACAATGCGATATTACATGTTATATTCTCATTAGTAAGTTAATCTTGTTACCCAAGAAAGTATGAAACAAAGTGTACTCAAAACTACGTGGATTTCACAAGCTGTATGAGTTTAGATAAATCATTTTTATCGAACATACAAAAATAATAGCTACCTGGATTCCAAAATGGATTTAAAGTAAATGTAAGTAGATTCCTATGTAAAAAATAACGCTTATTTTTTACGTAGAATCACATTTGTAATCAAATCGCAGAGTGTAATTTATTGCTCTAATCTAACTTTCTTTAAATAAAAGCATTACCTAAATAATAAATACATTTCAATTAGATTTAGTACCCCCTCAATTTAGTACTGCGCACTCAACCCACACTAACAGACTATGCTATAACTGTAATCTTGGTACACAATCCATCCGTGGGTCAAATTATGGTACGATACATTAATGTAACAGTTATGTAATATTCCTTATTTTTACACTGCAATAAATATCTTACAGGCTTTATATTTGAT